AGTTTTTCAAGACAATTTTTTTCTTGTTACAGGTTATTTACTGTGGTCACTTTATACAACTTTTTTTTGCATACTCTGAGATCTGTTATACTGGCGGAGCCAGCTGTGGGCTCTAAAACTTTCTGATCCCCCTCTAAAAAATTTATAGATCTCGAGCATTAAATTTAAATGAGTTTACCTCTGACGGAGTTTAGAAAATTTCTGGGCTCAGCCCCCTCCCCTCTAGATCAAACTTCTGGCTCCGCCACTAATCTGTTAGCAATGAAAGTCTATTCAATTCTGATAAAAAGTATTACCTTCAAAACATTTCAGAACGTTGGCTTGGGGTTAGCTGCGCGATCAACATCTATCTTTTTAATCAAAACTGCACCAGTATCGTGCCTTTTTCTTCAAAAGCAGGTATACAGAAGAGCTGATATTGTTACCATATATTCTACTAGTTTGTACTATTAATTGACATGAGCAAGAAAAGTTCAATCTATGTGAATGAGCGCTTTCCATTTTGAAAAAACGTGTCTATTGGATAAAAAGCTGGTGAATAAGGTGGTAAATCCATAAATAGATGTTTTATTCATTTTACATATTGTTTAATCGATTCCTCTTTGTGAAAAGGAATATTTAACACGATAGTTATTGTTCCTATAATGTTATCTAAGGGGTGACAGTCTAAAATTCGAAATACTTGCCAGGTTTTTCAATTGAACTGCTAAAATTTTTCAGATTTTGTCAAAAAATTCCAGAGGCAAAAAGAGCAGTTTTCTTGTGCGCGTTGAATAAGTTTTTTTATAAGAAAAATGTTCACACTATCCTACTTTTATTCTTTTTGGATATTTTGACTCATTTTTCAAGGTAAAGCATCTCTAGATGATATCTTGCTACTCGATTATATCAAGAAGTATTAAGCTTCTTCTAGAAATGTTGTTCCCATTAAAACTTAGCTGGTTCTCCAAAGATCCAATGAAAAACAGGTCTTTAAAATTTTTTGAAAACTAGTTTTTGTTTGAACTTTTAGGTATTTCAGGTTTTCTGCCCAAAAGTAACGTGGTTTCCAGATTTTTTATAAGATTTCAGGTACTTCAGGTACTTCAGGTATTTCAGTTGAAATCTTACCCTGTGTTATCTGTTTCAACTCTATCTGAACGAACTTTTATAAAATCTCCAAACTTTTCAGAGTCATAAAATTTGTCTAAAATTTCAGAATAATAGATACAACGAATTGCAGCTCATCATTGCACAGTAAGAACAGCTTTTTGCTCTAATTAATGGGGCCAACATTCGAGCTCGAGTTCCTTTTTGAGATCTTCGAATTGTTTTTCGCATTGTAATATTAAAATCTATTTCGTCTAACAATATTCTGGATTGAAATCACCTTCATTGTATCAGATTAGTTACACGCATACGTCGCCCAAGCCCTGTTTGAAAATACGAAAAATCTTCCTTCAAAACCAGATACCTGGACATAGTAGATTCTAAAAATGCACCATCTCCAGTATGCAGACCCAGCGTAAGAGAAAAGCAACTTTGAAAATAGTTCTGTCTTAACTCACTTAGAATAGATTTTGGAGCATCGGAAGTGACCTCATTTTAGAGAGACGCTTCTGTCGTATGTTAGACTTCTTTTAGGTTAGACTTGAACTGACAAAGTCCAAATGAAGATACTTTGGTATAGATGTGGCATAGGACCTTAGAAGACTTTAAATTCGATGGCAGCTGAGTTATTTCGATATAACTATCGGTTCAATATAACCCATATAACACGACCAGGTAAATGGTTCAATTGATGACTCCCAGTGTTGTCTAATGCTGCTTTTCCTTGTTACATTGGCCAGCCTTTATGAAAGTTCCTTAACTAGAGCGGTGAGTGAACTTTATTCCTCATTGTCAAAGCAGAAACGGTAGGAAAATATTGCTGACGTTTTTTATTGTAACACTTTTAGGGCATAAATTCGGATGGAACATAACTGGCGCGTGGTGAATCTTAAACTTCTTTCAATGATGGCAAAATTATCCAAATACATCTAACTTAGAATGAAGACTGACTTTGTTTTTTATTAGAAAAAAATATGGAAAGGCAAAGTTTCATAAACAAATTGTAGCTTCGGAATGTTGTTTTGTGCTGAAAGGTCACGAGTAAAGATGATTGTTTAACGAGTAACACCATCAACAACATGAATATCTGGTACTGGTGGTATAAAAATTAAAAATGGAGGATATGAAAGATTTTTCTCTTTTTTTATAAATACATGCGTTTGGTGCTTTTCAAAAAAATAATGATTTCTTGTGTTAATTATTGGATCTAAAATAACATAAAACAGACGTGCACTCAAATCGTTCGGAACAACCGAATTAGCGTTCTATTTACCTAGGAGAAAGTGCCAATAAAAAAATCCTATATAAATCATTGTTTGAACAATTCCACCTGTTATTGATATCCAATCAATAAAGCCCTCCGAGTTATAACGATACCACCAATTCAGTATATAAAAAAATCTATAACATCCCAATATTAGTAAATACAGGACTGGTGCTCTGGTTTCTATCTTTAATTTCCTTATCAGAAATAATTGAGGTAAAATGGCAATAGATTCTAGATAAATGGAAAATGTCCATAAAACCTGAAAATAGAAAGCGAGAAAAATTAAGATGGTTGTTGTTAGTTTTACGTTTAATGTTTTAAGATTCAAGTTATTGAAGGGTACAAACGTGAGGTATCTTCAAATTGACTGATATTAATGTATATGTTGGAGAATTTGCACCGTTATGAAGAACGTGTGAAAGTTTGAACTTCTAGTTCTATTATTTCCAGAATCACTGGGATTTAAGAGATCTCAAGCTGTCAGAGAGCGAAGATTATAACTGACTCATTATACATTTTTGAAAGTGTCCAAATTAGCATCTGTGCTAAATAAACACGTAGAAATATTCTATAGATACAATATTGGAATTTTATTTGCCTAAACAAACGGATCATATAAGATATTTAAAGAAAATGATTGTGGCTGAAGGCAACGAACCAAAAGTTTTTTAAAAAATTCCTTTTACTACTTGCTCTGGTCGAGTAACTGAAAGGCTCAAAGTTTTATTTATAGAATCTTCTTATGTGTTTATTTGTAACTGACTGGTGAAAATGATCGATACCAAGGAGAATAACCAGTCATTTCCGGCTTTGACTTCATGGAGAATGCGAGATTCTTTAGGTCTTCAGAAAGGATAAAGTTTCAGGAATTGATAATTACACGTTAAATGTAACTCTCCAAGCTCTAGAACATACATAGAAATTTGGTGATACTTTACCGTCGCACTTGCATCACTTTCTCAGTAACTCAATCTAAAAGATTATTTAACGCATGACCTCCTTTATCAGGAGATTACTCGGTTTCCAGATTTCGTACTCTATCACATACTCTATAATCGTACTTCTGTTATTAAAGGTCCGGAATTCCATACGAATGCTAAAATAGCCGTTGGCACAATTAAATATACAATACGAAATGTGTCATTATTGTTTGTTTTGGAATCACTATAGCCATGACAATAAATTAAAAACATCGTGAAATACGTTGTTATTAAAAAGAACCATTTTAGAAGTGTATTGTATAATGATACATAATGTGTAAATAAATCCAAATAGCGACATGTAAATACAATTGCGTACAGTATAATACTTTTCCCTGATATACCTACAGTAGAGGCAGTAGAGAAGAATTTTTTAAAAAGTATTTCTTATGGATTACATACAACATACCTGCAGATGAACATCGTTTTAATATTCGAAATAATAATAGTGAAACTGCTGCTATATGAAACAGATCTCCAAGT